CTTTCCGTGCAGAATAATTCAATGAAACTCATAATTCTGAAATCATAGGATCATAGAGGGGTTTGGGTTGGCAGGGACCTTTAAAGATTTAATCCCCCTGCAGTGAGCAGGGACATCTTTAACTAGATCAGGTGGCTCAGAGCCCCACCCAGCCTGACCTTGAATGTCTCTGGGGATGGGGTTTCCACCATCTCTCAGGGCAACCTGTGCCAGCGTTTCACCATCTTCACTGCAAAAAAATTTCCATCTAGTCTAAATCTGCCCTCTTTTAGTTTAAAACCATCACCTCTTGTCTTATTCCAAGAGGCCCTGCTAAAAAAATTGTCCCCACCTTTCTTTTAGGCCCCCTTTAAGTACCGGAAGGCTGCTATAAGGTCTGGCTAGAGCTGTCCCCTCTCCAGGCTGAACAACCCCAACTCTCTCAGCCTGTCCTCATAGGAGAGGTGCTCCAGTTCTCTGATCATTTTAGTGGCCTCCTCTGGACCTGCTCCAACAGGTCCATGTCTTCCCTGTACTGAAACGTTTCTAAATGGCAGGCACCTACTCCTGAAGATGATACAAATCTAACTGCTGTAAAACTGAGATCACAGATGACAAAAAAACCAACCACCAATAAAGCCACCTCCTACAAAAGTTAACCCACACAATAACTGTGGATCTCAAATATTTGAAGATAATGTTTTATTTTAGCCTTATACCTACCAAATACAAACCCATAGAGGTGAAACCAAAACCTCAGTATCTTCTGACTACCTCCTGTGATTAATTTATTTGTTGCCCTTAAGCCAATTTCTACCAAAAAAATGTAAAAAACCCAGAAGATACAATCACAACTACAGCTAGCTAGTAGTTTCCCAGTTGAGGCAGCTTTGGTGAACATGTGATGTGTCCTAAATTCCATCTTTATCAAAAAGGTGGTTCTGCAGCTAGGGCTATTTCATTAATAATAGGGGAGTTATATACATATGTGTGTGTGTGTATTTTTGTGTGTATCTAGGGCTGCTGCCTTCCATTAAGGGGAACCTCAAACAGCTGTTTGATTTTTCGAATTGGTAAGAAATATCTAATATGATCATATAGGTAACACAGATTTATGCAGTCCAAGTGTAGCCTGAAAGTTCCTATCCTTTAGAGCAGTGTTTTCACTTTGTGATTAAATGTAGTTGCTGTTATACTAATGAACTCAAAGAATGGGGCAACTGAAGTCAAGAACGTGTTTCCCAGCCAACAGGAGTTCCTTCCCAGCCCTAACCCTTAACCTAATGTCACAGAATCACAGAATGTCAGGGGTTGGAAGGGACCTCAAAAGATCATCTAGTCCAACCCCCCTGCCAGAGCATGATCACCTACAGTAGGTCGCACAGGAACATGTCCAGGCGGGGTTTGAATGTCTCCAGAGAAGGAGACTCCACACCCTCCCTGGGCAGCCTGTGCCAGGGC